ATGACCGAACGAGAGCCGAAACTGGCATACAGATTCTACGTATAAATATTCGAAGGTGAACATAATCCTGAAAATCACGTACGCGCTAAAAATAACGTAGAGCTGTAATTTGTTAAGTCGGTCTCATAAATGTAACGGCAAAATACGAAGTCATTAAGCCGTTCCTCGAGCGGGGAATACTGACAGCATCGTACAAATAACCAATATCCATCGTTGCATCCCGGTTAATTGCCAGCCTGAAATCTCTGCGGCAGACGCTTGTTTTTCCGGCGCGCGGTGAAAAATAGGATTCATTTGCAAATTTTAATGTACGAATACGTCTTGTCCTTCCAATATTAATCGTCGCTAATTACCGGCATCGTTTCCTCGTTTCTTGCTCGTCTTAAGCAGATTAAATGGATTTAACAAACAGTCGCTTATCCTAGTCTTAATAGCGATCGATATTGGCGTTGTACGAAAATTTACCTCTCGCATTTTCCAGTTTATATAGACAACAAAAGGTTGTTAAGAGTTTTCGAACTCTAACGAGCCGAAGCGATCGTACGCGCTCGATCGTATCGCTGGATTACGTTTCTCCGCTAATACTTCTGTGATCGACCGCAAGTATTTTCGGGCGAGAAATTATTTCTCGGGAAAACCGATTAGGAATCGAATCGAAAATAATATAGGATTACCGTGGTTAATAGTTTTTTTGGCTCACCTGGTCTCGAATGCTCGACGGAAAAGTTGTTCGGTACGTTCGAAGGGATAGCGGACGATTTATCGCATCGTCGTAACGCGTTAACCAAGCGTTCACGTGCCGCCACTACCGTTGCCAATGCCACTAACACACTGTATCACTACCACCCGCACCACCACTAACACCACTAACGACACTACCACTGTTACCAGCTGACGATACCGTTGCTGGCACCGATGTCACGATTATCGAATAGGGTATCGATTTTCGAGCGACGTCGCGAACAAACGAGAAAACCGTGTCTGTTTTTCCCTTTCGCCGTGTACTCGACGCTTCGAGCCGAGACTATCGAATAAAAAGGAGGGTAGTCGCGAGTTGTCCGCGACGTAAACTACCGCGAATAAAGAACATCGCGTTCGGATCGAAAAGTCATGTCGAGATCGTTGTTCGGTCGCGAAACACCCTTTGTCCTGTGGCGAGCACGTTGTCGGATGGTCGATGGAGCGCGTTCTACCCCTGCCGTAACCGGGGTTCGACTAAAGCGAGAACCGAAGTCTCGTACATTTGCGATAGCCGAGCGCATGCTCTGGCTTTCCTCGTTTCCTCGCTTATCTTCGCCTGTGTGGGTGTTCGGCTACATAGTTGCACGTTGCACCGTGTGTCGCGACTATAAAGGGTGGTCAAGAAAATTCTCGAGAAATCAAAATCACATCCCAGTCGCTCTTCCTTCGAACCGCTCTTTCGGGATTTTGCGTTTCTTCAACTCGATCTCGAGGAATCGAAATGAAGAAAATTCGAGGAAAACGTTCCTGGCTGCTCTAGATACGCCTTTGCCGTTTTCGCGCACCGAATACGCGTTTCGCGCGTTGGTCAGTCGTTTGGTCCTATCTCGTTCAGAGTAACGACGAGTTTATACGAAAAACGTTGTCGCGTTCGTAGCGCGTCTGGGCGTCGTTTCGAGTCTCGTTGCGCCAAACGAGCAACGAGCGAGGCTCTCGGCTAAAGCGGCAGTAGCGCGAGATACGAGCTGGCGATGATTTCATCGCTGGATAGAATCAGCTTTTCTAATTCGAGATCCTTGAAAAACGCGACGTCTCTTGAAAATGTTCCGGAAAATATGACACACGATGCCGATTCTCCGTGGTCTCGTCTCGCGGATGCTCCGCTTTCAATACGAGTGTGCTTTAGGTAGGTTTATCGGGCGGAACGTGCACGTAGACGAGTATCTCTCGACGCGTATGCCGTGTGACGAATGAAAGGAGAGGAAAGGAAAGAAAGTTACCCGTCTTTTTACGCGCCATCCTAACGACGCCCCAGAAAATCGGATCAAATCGCGTAACCTAATTACAACGGTTAACGGGACAGCGCGCATTCGATTTTACGAATTTTCAGCGAAAACTTTGACCGATAGCCAGCGACTCGTTAACGTTTACGACCTCTCTCGAGCAACTACCGAGCTAAGCTGCTGGAAAAAACCGTATCTAATTTTCGCGTGTTCGCGCGGATTTTATCGCTTCATCGAACGAGCGTACGCGATACCTGCTGTGTCCGTTTGCCGTAAGTTTTCTCTGCTTCTTCTTCTTCCTCCGCGATTCGAGTGTAAAATTTTCATCGAACGAATCGGCTAATGTTGAAACGAAACCCGTAAAACGCGCGCGATACCTTTCCGGAGAGAAAAGAGGCAGCGCGTTCGCGAACCAATACCTCTTGTAAGCGGTCATTATTTTGCCGTAGCCTGCTGCCACGCCGCGTGCACAACGCCCGCGACATTCGTATTTCCGTATTACTTTTTTCTCCCATTCTCGTTCTTTTCTATATTAGCAAACGCGCGGCTTACAACGCTCGTTTATTCGCTATTACGAGCAATGGAATCGATTCGCGTTCAGCTTATATTTCACGGCTTTTTCTCGTCTCGACGAATTTTCCATTTAATCAGAACCGACTTGAATATCAATCGGTTCTTGTTTATTTACCGATTCACTCGATCCGTTGTCGCTCTGTCCCGACAGCGTTTTTCCTCTTTGACGTACATTTCTATCCGACGCGCGTCCCTCCCGCCAAACGTCACGGCGCGTATTTGTTCGATGAAGTTCGTACAACCTTGAACTTGACACGGGAGAAGGGAAGAAAATGGAAAAAGATTAATAGGCCGAGGGCGAGAGACGGAAAAGAAGACAAAAAGTTTCGTGTCGCAATACGGCAAAACAGAAACGAACTATCGACGCAGCGCGAACGGTAAAGAGACGGAGGGGAATATTACGGTGTTCCCGGTGTCCGGAGAGGAAATTTAATCGGAGGAGAAAAGGTCGGTAAAAATTTCAACGGTCTTTCCTCTGCGAATACGTTGATCCCGAAGAGGCGAGTGGGAGAATGCAATGTCCGCGTCGTGGTCCGGCAAGATTATGGCGTTAAAAAGTATACGTTCTTTCCATGAGAATGGCCAGGTTTACGCGAACTTTCGGAGGACGCGTATAATATCGTAACGCTTCCTGACTGAATAATTAACGTCGGTGCGACGTTTATAATTAATATACCTATTATCGCGACCGAGCTAAAATTTTGTCGCATCGAATCGTCAGATGGTCGACCTAATTAACTGCTGCCATTTACACGTAGAATCAGAATAGCGCGGGAAACGGAGTCGAGAATTTTGTCGCGCCAATTACGAATAGGCACGATTCGCGAGCGTTTGAATAGCGCCGGAGTGATCCGATCGACGATACGTTCGCGTTCGAGCATAAAACGTTCGCTGGACCGTTCGTTTTCCCGTGTTACCGATCTCTCGTCGCCCTCACGGTACTTCGCTTTGTATCTCTCGTCGCGCCGCGGCCCGTCCCGGTTTTTCGATCTCGCGCCAGCATTCTCGGAGCTAATCCGCTATGCGGATATTCTCCATCTTGAAATTCCGGGAGCCTCGCGGAAGTTTCGCGAGTTTCACCAATAAGTTTGTGTATCGCGGTATTGCAGCTGGCCGAGCTTGCCTAGTTTCCGTCCGACAATCTTCTAGCCTGGTATTTCTCTGTTCTCCGTGTACTCTGAACTTCCGCTCTTTAGAGGGCGGAACGAGACACGGCTTGCGGAAAAAGGGACCAGCGTAAAAGCGTGCGTCTGAATCGCGCGCGAGGGGGGGCTGCACACGGTGAAAACGATCGTTGGCCAAAGAAAGAAGAGAAAAATAAAAATGAACGCGGGATCACACTTGAATAAAACCATCGACTCGGGAGCGAGAGAGAAAAAAGCTAACCCTCACCCCTTTTCAAGCTCCCGCGGAGCTCCCCTAAAAGAACCGACGAAACTGGCCGGGAAATAGCGAGGCTAAAAATATCGTCGTTCGTTCGAGCGACTCGCCGATCTTTGTTCGAAAGCCGTTCTCGAGCTGAAAGCGTATAAATACGGTTCAAGAGCGAAATTCTAAAAAGAGTGGCGCATGCAAGCGCCATAATGCGTCGTCGACGCGTTCCGTACGCGCTCTCGAGCTCGCGTTCTCCGAACTCGCGAATTGCCTTCTTCGATGCGTCGCATCGCGCCGAACGCTTCTCTCTTCCGTTTCCAGCTGAACGAAACGTCCCTTGCAATTATGATCGACTAAATCGTGGAAGGAATAATGAAATTTTTATTTTTCTCGCGCGACTGCAGCGTCAACTACCGAGAGGAATTCTCGGAACGTTCGCGGAACGGAAAAAGGAATGCTGTAGCAGCGTTCTCGAGCTACGAAGAGAAAAGGAGAGACGAGGAAAGAGGAAACTCGTTTAACGACCGTGCCGGTACGGCGCGGCGTGGCGCGGTGCGGCGAGCTGATACACGAACGACACGAAATACGTCTGCAACGAGATGCAAATTACGGACTTACGAAGTATTGTTACGGACGCGCGACGGGCTGCGCTGCAAATAATAAGTCGAGCAACAGTCGCGTTGTCTACCGGCAAGAGTATACGAGCAGCGAACGTTTCTTCGAATTCGCGTTGAATTTCGGTTAAACGAAAGGAGAAGGCCAACGCGGCCAGAGCAGAAGCCTTGAAATATTAGACGGAATGCGAGTATCGCGAAACGGATTTAATCTCGCGCGTTTCGTCTTCTCTCGCTTCGGCTTGTCGGTCCAAAGCGGTCCAGCCAAATGCTCGTCCACTTTTCGAAATTACCGAGATGATGCGTCTCGACGTGGACCGCTCGCGAACGGGGCTTTAGCGCGTTTCGGAAACGGCGCTGCGTACACGGGAACCTTCTGACGCGGTCTTCTTTCGCGCACACCGCAACTCCCATCCGCCGCGTTCTCTCGCCCCTCGACTTCAGCTGGTCCCTATGGCAAGGGGGGCTGCACACGGTGAAAACGATCGTTGGCCAAAGAAAGAAGAGAAAAATAAAAATGAACGCGGGATCACACTTGAATAAAACCATCGACTCGGGAGCGAGAGAGAAAAAAGCTAACCCTCACCCCTTTTCAAGCTCCCGCGGAGCTCCCCTAAAAGAACCGACGAAACTGGCCGGGAAATAGCGAGGCTAAAAATATCGTCGTTCGTTCGAGCGACTCGCCGATCTTTGTTCGAAAGCCGTTCTCGAGCTGAAAGCGTATAAATACGGTTCAAGAGCGAAATTCTAAAAAGAGTGGCGCATGCAAGCGCCATAATGCGTCGTCGACGCGTTCCGTACGCGCTCTCGAGCTCGCGTTCTCCGAACTCGCGAATTGCCTTCTTCGATGCGTCGCATCGCGCCGAACGCTTCTCTCTTCCGTTTCCAGCTGAACGAAACGTCCCTTGCAATTATGATCGACTAAATCGTGGAAGGAATAATGAAATTTTTATTTTTCTCGCGCGACTGCAGCGTCAACTACCGAGAGGAATTCTCGGAACGTTCGCGGAACGGAAAAAGGAATGCTGTAGCAGCGTTCTCGAGCTACGAAGAGAAAAGGAGAGACGAGGAAAGAGGAAACTCGTTTAACGACCGTGCCGGTACGGCGCGGCGTGGCGCGGTGCGGCGAGCTGATACACGAACGACACGAAATACGTCTGCAACGAGATGCAAATTACGGACTTACGAAGTATTGTTACGGACGCGCGACGGGCTGCGCTGCAAATAATAAGTCGAGCAACAGTCGCGTTGTCTACCGGCAAGAGTATACGAGCAGCGAACGTTTCTTCGAATTCGCGTTGAATTTCGGTTAAACGAAAGGAGAAGGCCAACGCGGCCAGAGCAGAAGCCTTGAAATATTAGACGGAATGCGAGTATCGCGAAACGGATTTAATCTCGCGCGTTTCGTCTTCTCTCGCTTCGGCTTGTCGGTCCAAAGCGGTCCAGCCAAATGCTCGTCCACTTTTCGAAATTACCGAGATGATGCGTCTCGACGTGGACCGCTCGCGAACGGGGCTTTAGCGCGTTTCGGAAACGGCGCTGCGTACACGGGAACCTTCTGACGCGGTCTTCTTTCGCGCACACCGCAACTCCCATCCGCCGCGTTCTCTCGCCCCTCGACTTCAGCTGGTCCCTATGGCAACGCACTTAAGCTCGCTTTAGTATTTCAGCCTCTGGGAGAGGGTTCCCCTATGCTGATCTCCCTCTCGGCAAACTCTTGTCTCTCTTTCACTCGGTTCTCCCTGTTCTCTCTGTCTTGCTCGAGTTTCCCCTGACCAAGCCCTCCACGACGGCCAACTATTGTCCGAGCTGCATCGCACTGGGCCAACTTGCTCTTACCGCTTTGGTCGCTGCTCGTTCTCTTCCTCTCCTTCCCTTTCGATTTAACTCGCTCACCTGTTTTCTTTCTTCTCCTCCTCTCCTCTCCTCTCCGCTGCCGCTGTAAAGCTCCATCTCGGGGTCCCTTGGCTCTCGCTCCGAAAGGATTTAACCCGAGTATCTCTAAACGTCGCGACACGAAACGCGCTCTGTCTTTCCTCTCGGTCTCTTTTTCTCCTAGGCTCCATAGCCTTCGTTTTGTTCCACGGTACGCTGCTCGTTTTCGCGTTTCGCTCTAAACGCGATAATAAGCGTTCTTGGATACCCTTTTATGCTTGTCTACGCCCGTCGAGGACACACCTTCGTAATGTTCTTAACAGCTTTGAACCGAGTTTCGCCAGTTTCTTTCCTTCTCTGACTGCTCCCAGACGCTGTAGGTACGCTTGTACTTTGGTATCGTTCGACACGCGTTTCTTGCTTCTCTCGGGATTCGACTAATGCTCCGCTTTGCGCGATTTCCGTACCCTTTGTTCGCCGACGAAACACGGGGAACGAAGAATTGAACGGCAAGAAATCCTCGAATCGGTTGCGCGATCTCGCGCCGACGGGGGGAATGGTTGCTCGTTCGCTAGGAAAATTCGCCGATGGCGATAAAGCATGCGAGAAATTCGCAACGCGGTAGATAAATTACATCGGTGTGCCGATGAGACCGTCGAAGATGAAGTTTGCGAGGAAAACGAATAGCGCTCGAACGAAAGTTTTACGGCTGAATTCTCGACCGTGACGTTTCGCGATACACGAGATACGCGATCGAGATTCGCCGCGTTACACCTAAATAACAACTCGAACGTATCTGCGACGAATAACGATCGCGTCAACGCGTTGTTCGGTGAACGAAGCGATTGTCTTTTTTCTCTTGGCCGAATCCGTACGTTGTCCATCGACGGTCGTGGAGTTTGGTCTTCTCGCCTCGGCGTGGAAAATCGATACGCGATAACAAGGTGGCGAAACGCAGCCGATAAGGATGATATTTATTGCTCTCCTTAATATACATCTCTCGTGCTAGAACGAACAAAAAGACCCGTGGAGTCTGCCTTAATGAGCACCCTGGAGTTTATTACCTGCCGCTTAACGGGGATTAAGACAGCTTTAAAAAGGATAGCGCCCCACGGCGAACCACCCGAACGCTGTAAAACACTCGGTCGTCTCTGGATAACGGTAAACGCTGGTAGCAGAGATAAATCACCCTCGAACGTGTTGCCGTTCATTTGATCGCTCGATACATCCCCTTCGAAGGTTCGAAGCTTCCAAGTTATCACGGCCCAGTGTTACAAGCAGAAATTATGATTGGCCGTAAACGTCTTCGTCGATGCTCGGAATCGAAGAAAAGCCGAGTAATCTTGCCAGGCGATCGAACTCGTACGCCGTATCCCCGTATGCAGTATCCGATATCGAATAGTCTCGTGACGCGAAAACAGAGGACACGACGTTGCTACTTTAGCAGGAGATGCTGCGATAATAAATATGCCGTGCGCCGGCGGCCATAAATCCCGTGTAATTGAATTTTCAACATCCATAACTGGTCGTCGCCGGTGCGACCTCAGGAAATTGGATGGGATGTATCTTAAACCGAGTGGGATCGTTCCTTTCCATTCTCGAAACGACGCAATCCCTTCCGAGCCCTCTTCGATTAAAACGCTCTGCCTGCTTCCTTCGTCGTTCTCTTTGTTCCTCTTTTTTCCTCCTGCTCCGATTCTTCGATGTTCGCGGACTGGAACAAGTTTTAATTCGCCACCCAAATCGATTCTTTTGCCTTCCACGCTCGCGCCCGCTTTCGTTCGCTCTTTCTCCGCTTCCGCCTTATCTGTCCCCGTAACTCCGCCCTTTCCATTCCTCGCGCTCGCTCGCTAACCAACGTTTTCTTTCTTCGATTCTGGAAAAGCGAAGAGTTCCTTTGACGGGAACATCTAATCAAGAATTTCTTCGAACCCTGAACCCTCGTCCTGCCAAACTGTACTCGCTTTCTTCTCAACTTTCTCGCTCCTCTCCGCCTCCTTTCTTCGCTTTTCCGTGGTATAGCCGGAGGAATCGTGGAAAACTTTGATTGTGCGATGGCCATGCACTCCGAGCGGACGAAAAAAGGAAAGAAAGAAAACGCTGGGGAGCAGTAAGCGGAGTTTTGATCGATCGAGAGTTCGATTTTCGATGCGTCGCGCGTGTATCGCGTCGTGGATCGACCTCGATTCCACGCCGGACAGTCGACCCGCGATAATAACGGAGAAACGGTTGCTTCGATTATCGTCGAGAGGTAAAATGTGGAATATTCAACGCTGGACGCGTCGCATCCGCGAAATCCGGAAAATCCGCGAGTGGATCACGAGAAAGGAGCGTGGCTTCGAACGAGACTCGCTAACGCAAGAGATCGTGGAGAGCCGTGATGTCAGAGATTACGATAAGCCCTCCCAACGGTGAGAAACAAATGACGTACTAACTGCATATTAACTGAACTGCCGGGCTATCCGTTGACTCCGCCTACTATCCTGGGAGCCACGCGAGAGTATACTCTCTGCATGTACGTACACGATCCGCCAACATCGTAAGCATTCGGACTAAACTTTCGCCGGTACATTTTACACCCGCGTAATCGTTCCTTGGCTCTCTCTCGATTAATCGGGGTCCACGCGGGCGACGAAAACTACCTGTCGGTTAAAAACTGCTCGAATCGAGGATGCTCGAGTTCTTAAACCAAGTTCGAATTTCCTTGTTTCGTCAAACAAGATCTTTCATGTAAAGTTTTTGCATGCTTGCTTTTTAAAATCATGGGATAATCGTGGGAAGAAGCCCGTAGCAACGAAACGCATCTCCACGGATTTCTAAAATCATGCATGTAAAGAGGAAGCGCGTGTGCGATGTAAATCTGCGCGGAGCAACGACTTTTCATGGCGCGTTTCGCTGGTGCAAGATATCACCTTTCAGAGAACCTTTAGGATGAAGATTCCAGGGGAGTTAAGGAGATCGGGATAACGAGAATGTAACGAGATCCTCTCAATTTCACGTAACAAGCACTCGCGCGAACTACGTCTCTTTCTTTTCTTCTCCGTACGTTGCACCGGCTAGAAAATTCGCGCATCGTACGAAAACATCCGTTTTAACTTTCATACGACTCTTCTTCGTTAATTAGAAAAGATAAATTATTCGGAATAATGTTTTCCGCGTGCTCCGCTATGTACGTTTTGATTTAAAAAGAGGTAACATAGAAAAGTTTCGCTTTAAATCGTGTGGATATTCGCGCATTAACTCTCTGGGTCTGCGCATGCGCGAGGTATTTGCACAGCTTGTACCGCGCAGACAGTTGAGACAGTTCCAAGATGGCCGCCCGACGCGCAGACGCGTCTCGGAGTGAAATCGGTTTTCGCGATCGTGTTTGCAATAAAAATCGATATTCGCGAGTGTATTTGCAATAAAAATCGATATTCGTGAGTGTATTCGTTGCATAATCGGAACGCTGATACGCGAGAATAAAGAGTGAAACGAAAAATATGTGTGCAAATGTGGTAGCGGAAAGTGCGGAAATCTGGAAAAGCAACATGGCGCCCAACAGGGACGCGTCGCAATAAAGGTAAGAATTTTGCTTCATAATTTGCTTTATTAGTGATTTAATAAGAGTACAATCGGTATCGATACACAAATCGCTTTGATCTCGCAGTCTTCCATTGGTCACGTAGAATTATTTCGGTCGTACGCGTTCGTACGTCGTAGCGAAAGTAGAATTCAGAGATCGAGATCGCGCTCGTGGTGGCTTGCGGATCTCGATCGGATAAAGGATCGTCCTCGCAGTCGATCGAGGTTCGAGGAACGCTCGATTTACGCGGAATCGTCCGATTTGACCTTTTCGGTTTGGGAGGACGCGGTGTCGTGCGGTATTTCTGGTTCTCGAATACCCATCCACTGGCACCGTTTCTGCAATTCTTGTCGGTACCTGAGCAAAGAGAACGACAATCGTTTCGTTCCGGATTATTCCGGCGTGTCGTTTAGGTCGCTGAATCGTTTTACTGAATCGCTAGAGAATAGTTGGCGTTACCTAGGATGATTGATCGCGTAAATCCACGGGTCGATACAAGAAACCGTTTTACAGAATAGAGCAGGGAGCATCGTGGATATCGGTGTTAAAAGTTCCCTGTAACAACGTTCGTGAATAGACTAGAAACGTTTAGGCGTATTTAAACGCGTGTCAATTACCGATTGCCGAATGCCCCTATGAGAGCGACCGTCGCGTACGGTGTCCAAGCTAAGAGAAACAGGAAGAAGATGGTGAACGCCACTTTGGCGATTCTCATTTCCACGCTTCTCTCCTTATCTTGATTCGACACCAGAGACTTTACGTTCATCTTCTTAGCCTGTGGAACAAAAGCATGCTCGTAAACGGAAATAATTAGTGTATCGTCGTCGAACGCGTTGACTGTCATCGATCAGTGCTCGCTCGTGATTGAACGTAACTTCGTAGTGAACCAATCAGCGATTATTGATAACCGGTAGTTGGCCGATAACCGATAACTATCCGAGCAGTCAACGCGTCGAGAACGCAAACATTTTTGACCGACCTGTTCGCGCAACATTTTCTCGTGGCTGCGAATAGACTTGAGCAGTTGAGAGTAAAAGTACACGATGAAAGATAGAGGAATGCAGTAGGACCAAATGAAAATAGACATGACAAAGACTTTCGTGTCTTGATCTTCCGTAAGAAAGTCGAACGAGCAGGTAGTTAGAAAACCCTCTAAAAGTAATTAAAAGTTTGAGAAAAGGTTAGAAAAGTATGTTGGAAAGAAAAGCGCCGCGCGTCGGTTTACGAGCTGATCGATTACCGGTGGTGAAACGACCCCAGACTTTCAGTAGCGGTAAAACAGTGAACGGCGTCACCCAGAACCACGTGAAAGCAATGATTATCGCGGCTTGCTTCGAATTCAGTCGTCCATCGATCGGGCAGGATATGGTTCTGCGAAAACAGACAAAATAAAAAACTCGTTCGAAATTTACGGGTATGTAAGGATAGTTACTTGTATCGGTCAAAAGCGATCGCAGCGTTCGTGATCGCTTGGCCCATCCCAGAAATAGAACCAAACACCGCGTAGATATCGCAACCGAGTTCCCAACCGATCATCCGTTCCGCGAAACTGCTTATCACTAACATGGGCATTTCGAACGCCATTATGATGTCGAATATCGCCAAGCTGACTATGAACATGTTGGAAGCCGTCCTCAATGATTTTGACCTGAAAATACGTCGGAAAATTTTTAATCTCCTTCCGTCGATACGGTGTTCGGTGGTTGACGACGGTCGGTACACTTTATAAAAAGCGTAAAATCGATTTCGAGCTTACGAACGACGTCGGTCGGTCGCGCGACAGATGGCACCACCGACTTCCTCGTCGAAACGACGCGCGTCGAATCAAATGCTTGACTTACGTGCTGAATATCCATATCACGCAACAATTTCCTACGACAGACATCACTAGCAGCATAATATAGATGAGCGCTAATCCAATGTGCCAATATTTTCCAGGTGCAAGGAACGCTCTCCAATGGGGATGCACGAGGTCCGAGTGTTCCGGCGGTACGTTCCATCCCAGGAACCGTTCTCGCATCGACGGAACATGCCTGCTTGGTGAGCAAACAAACAACTTGTCATTTTATTTTCTTTTTAAATTGTCGCTCGACAACTCGCGCCATTGACGAAGGAACGTTCCGAAAGAGATCTCTTGTCTCGCGATTTTACGTCCACTCTTGAATCGACAGTGATAAACTTTGTCAACTGCGCGACTCGAGCGTAGAGAAGTAGTAGAATTGTATGGCGCACACACCCGGTTTCTTCGCCGACGAAAGGCAATGGTCCGCTGATGAGTGTATCGTTGCGCGATAGCATCCCGTATCGACTCGCAAATGTACGCTCGATACACGGAAATTCGCTTTGCAAATTAAGCGTCGGAATATGACGATCAAGGCTCGCGATGGACGAACCGAACGGGTAGTGGTTGATCGCGGTCTAGCGAGCACAGGTATCTACGTTTCTTTGCTAACCGGTGAAGCGACAAAGGGGATGCGAGGCGCGAGAAAAGAAAATAAGGGAAGAAAGAAAATTTCGAAGGATAACTCGCGTCGAAAAAATGCTTGAAGTGAGACACGGTGCAGAGGTTGTGAAGACGTTCCGCAACTCACTTGACTCTGTCGATGGCGATTCTTTCCTTTTATACGCACGACGAATCGCGAAATCGAGATTGGCGTGTCGCTTGAGAGTTTAATTCGATTTACGATTTACGAATAAGAGAAACCTTTTGTTCGGCTGAGGCTAGATAGTCACGCGAACCGATCTCGCGCCTTCTGCTCTTCGTGACACGATGCCCTTTTGCGACGATTCTTAATCCCTGATCAAGGTTACGTTTCCGAGCGATTTCGAGAGATAACTCGGAGCGGAAGGGGGTGTTGCGAAAGAGAGACGTCGGGAACGCGAGCGGGGACAGATGACGCGCGAGTTACCGGCTGTTCTCGTCTCCGAAAAGTCCGATCGGTCGAGAGGCTCGTCAGCGGGAAATTACGAGGGTGCAGCTTCGTTTGGGATCGATTGGATGCGCGCTGTCAATCTCGTAATCGAGGGTTCGTTTTGTTATCGGTTTAACCGAATAACGCCTCTCGAACCGATCGAAAATTCAGAGAAATTGCGACGCACGTCGGTCAGCGTCCTGAAATTTCACGCTGGTCGAGCGTCGAGTCGCTCCTCGTAGCGACG